CACTCTCCGCCCCTGCAGGTATTCCATGGTTTGTGCGGGGGGGGGCGACAAGGTGGGCACTTTGTGTGGTGGGGGGAGCAAAAGCTCTCCTACCCCTGCACCCAGCGCTCCTCCACTGGGAGGAAGGGAGAATTTTAGCCTGTGCAGCTTCTCTTGTCACCGTGCTCCTGGGTGGGCAACGAAGCACCTGATGTCCTTGCCCCCCCTCCCCAAACATCACCCTTACCAGGAAGGTGTCCAGGGCCCTTTGCGGGGGAAGGAACCTTTTTGAGGGGGTGGTGGTGGGAAGGGAAGGGAAGGGCTGCCTCTGGGCAGAGACGTTTCATTAACGGGGACGTGATGGTCTTGTCTTCTTCCAAATGTGGGAAGACATCCCATCGCTGCTGCGTGAGTGACAGAGAACACGATGGCCGGGGAGGATCGGGAGGAGCAGAGTGGGGGGGGAGAGGCAGCAGCTGCGTGCGTGCATGTGTGCGTGCACTTTGCTTTAGACTGCAAGATCCCACCGCAAACCAAGCAGTGGGTTTTTTTGGGGGGCGGGGGAACCCTCCCATCCAAAAAGATGCAGATAGGATTGCAGAAAGACAACAGGCCTGTCTCGGCCCATCTGTGCCACGGCCCTGGGGGAGACCTGCTCCCGAGTCGCTTCAGGTGGGCCTCCAAGGCTTCAGTGGGGCCGAGCCCTCTGGCATGGCCGGTGCCATGGAGCCCACCCTGCAGATGGGGAGTCCCCGTCGCTGCTTCCAGAACCTCAAGTGGTAATGCGTCGCTTCCGATGTTCAGCTGGATGAGGCTATACAGTATATATATATATATTCATCTGCCCACAAAGGGTGGGAGCATGGCCCAGTGCTCATTGCCCAGCCTGGCGCATCCCCTCTTCCTTCTCCAGAAATCCCGGGCTCTGTGCATCTTGGCTGCCTGCTTCTGCAGCTCTGAACACTTTCCCCGTCTCCAGGGACATTTTCTTCTCACGTTCTGTGGCTTTCCTTTATGATCGGTCAGAAGGGCTGTGGCCAAAATAGAGGAGGAAAATTCACGGTTGGCTCCAGATGTGTCGATCGGTCAGAAGGGCTGTGGCCAAAATAGCTGTCCCAGAGGAGGAAAAGTCACCGTTGGCTCCGGATGTGTTGGCACCTCAGGCCGCCGCGCTCCTCGCTGCACTCGCTCGGAAGGGCGTTCCACGTAACCCACCAAGCTTTTTTCCTGGGCAAACCTGCCAAAGATTGGGCAGCAAGATAAAATCCCTTCCCGGGAGAGGAGACTGAGAAATGATCTGGGCCTGTTCTTTGTGGGCTGGCTGGAGACGTAGCTGAGGGGTTGAGGTCCCGAGCTGCAGAGCCGGAGTTCCGGGAGTTCGATTCCCCTCCTGGGCATCTCCTGGGAGAAGAGCCAGCCTGGGTGGCCGTGGGCAAGTGGCACCGTCTCCAGGGAACTCCTAAAAGAAGGGAAGGGTAAATTCAGTGCCTGGAAAAGCCTGGAAAAGGGTGTCACCACGACTCCAACGTGACTTGATGGCATAGGGTGGTGGTGGTTTTTGATCTAGTAACTAAATAATTCCTGAGCACCAGGTTTCTGTGTTTTAAGGGATCCTTCCGTTGGTCTTGTCTTTTTCTCTGCTATTTCCTTAAGAACTGGAAAGGCTAGATTTTGCAGAAGAAAGGGTTCTAAGAACGAGTTTCAACCGCTGGGCTTTTAAGGCAGGGAACGGAAGGGCCAACCTTGCAGCATTTTGTTACACAAGAGGTTTTGTCAGGCGGTCTGACTTGCAGGTCCTGTAGAAAGATGGCAACCTTTAGCGTTTCCTGCTTCCTCCACATTTTTATGACTTTGGTGGGAGGGGGCTTTCTCGTGAATTGCCTCCACCGTTGCCCATAGCAACCCAGGGACCGAGCTGCGCCAGGCTGATAACGGCAAATCCTTCTTGTTCAAGCAGGAAATGGCTTCGGCACCAGTTACTAGGAGCTGAAAAGTTAATTTCTGAGCATAAGACTACAAATCCCTATCCACAAAGGGGTGAGAATGGGCATCAGTCTTGTTCCACAGCAGAGGACCCCAGCAGCTGGAAAATAGCTGCTGGTGCTAAAAACCCCATTGTCTCCTGGCCAAAACTGTAAACCCCACATCTGCTTGGTAAATAGAGGCTAGGAATTAAAGCACAATTCACTCCTGGTGCTTCGTTCTAATGAATTATTTCTGTTTCTATTCAATTATGCACACAATTAAATTGTATGCACATTGTCCAGCCCCGGCAAGCTGGGTACTCGATTTACTAATCTTGGAAGGCTGAAGGAACCTTGAGTTGGCCCCCTGAGCCAAGGATCAAACTCAGGTGATGAGTCTTGACTGCAGTACTGCAGTTTAAGCACTGCGCCACAAGACTCCTGTTATTAAACCCATCAAACAGGCAGCCATAAAAAGTGCAAGCTTCCGGCATTGCTTCATTGGCCAGTATGTTGCAAAATAACTGTAATAAATAAGTATAAGGGAGGATGGGTGCTTGGGTATGTTATCTTCTGTTGTGCACTAACCATGCCCAGCAGGAATCTGGCACTTGGTTATTGCTAACTACAGCCATGTGTGGCTCTTATTTTCCAGAAGGGCTGCGTTTTCATTAGGAATCGCTGGAGCTTTTGAGTCACACAGAAATATTCTTCAGACACTAAAGTGTTAAGGCAGGAGTTTCAGTCAGTGACACAACACACGCGTGCATGCGCAAACACGCACACCCAAACACACCCAAACAAGAAACCACAGAGGGGGATTTTCCATCAGGAAACAGTATTGCAGCGTATCGTTGTGTTGCTTTCAGAAACCTCCTAGCCTTTTCTGAGCGTTTGAACTCAAGGGTTTCTCCTCCTGCACTTGTCTGGAAACCACCTTGACAGCTGAAGCTCACTCCTTGGAGGACAGAGAGTTCCCCGAGGCCAGGAAAGAAAATGTGAGGAATAAACAAAGAATTAAATAGCCCGGCATCCATTCTTGGAACTTGGTTCCTGGGCCAGGGCTCGGCTCTAGAACAAGCAGTCCTGAACCGTTTTTGCCACCCGAGCGAAGAGTCAGCAGTTGCTTTAGGTCACCCTGTAGGAAGGCCTCTGTCAGGAGAGAGACAAACGAACGTGTGACCTTGCTGGCTCTCCATGATCTGAATAGGAGCCGATTTCTCCCCCACCCAAGGAGCAGACACCTCCCACACAGCTGGAATCCAGGTCTTGGGCTGGCAAGGTTTGGGCGCCTTCCAGCCGGAACAAAAACTGCACCCTCTCCCTGGGGAAAGCCAGCCTGCGTAACTTTTTTGCCCTTGCAGGAAACACATGCCAAGCTGGAAGGAGGGCACATCACTCACACGGGGACCCAAATTGGTTGTTTAGCCCTGAACCACTCCCAGTCTGGGAAATCAGGCCAGAAGAGCTGCTTAAGGGTCCCATGAGCTAGGAGGCCAAAAGTCTGTGGCTGGAAGCCCTCTTCTCCATGGCCAGCTTGGGTAGGCGGCTCGCTAGGTTCTTAGTTGGCTAGTCTTCAAAAGGGCCTTTGGTCATCCCACTGGCATCCTGCTAGGTCTCTGCACTGGTGAAGGGATGCCAGGCAGACGTCCGGGCATGAGGCATCGACTATTGACATTGTTGTTTTCTCTTCCCCCTCCGTCTCTCGCATGAAACCAACGGCACAGGGCACTTTCTCATTTTCAGGTGAGCAGGGCACAGATTTAACCCTGTGTTGCCCTGGCTCCTCTGAGTCTGAGATGCTGGGACTTGAATCCATGACCTTCTACATGCAAAGTTGTTTTTAAATTTGTAAACTGCTCAAAGTAGACCTTTTGGTCTAGATGGGCAGGATAGAAATCCAATCAATCAATCAATCAATCAATCAAGGAAGGGCTCGACAGCCAAAGCATCTCTGCAGGCGTTCAGAAATTATCCAGGTGCAAAGGCCAGGCACGATCATAAAGCAACTCTGCACGTGTTCAGAAGTCCTCTAGGTGCAAAGCCTCCGCACGGCAGCAACGCAACTCTGCGGATGGGCAGAAACACTGTTTCCCAAGACAGGGAGGGGTAATTTGCACGACAGGATCTGGCTTCAGCTCCCCCTTCCGCCGCCCCCCCTTTTGCCTTTTGTGCACCGACTCCCTGCCTGCAGATCTACGTGCATGACACGCACATCGGCATTAAAAAAGAAATAAAGAACGCCGCGCGATCCAACGACGCCCGTGTAACGGATCCCAGGGACGAGTTGCTCCTCCGCCTCTCTCTCCCCCTCCCGCCTCTTCTTCCCCGCGACGCATGCGCATCGGGCAAGGCAGGGACCGAAGCCGTGGGGAGGAAGAGAAGGGGAGGAGCCAAGGAGAAGGCGTGCATGGTCGCCGCCGCCGCCGCCGCTGCTGCGCCTGCGCGAGGGAGGAATGAGAGGGGCGGGAGGCCGTGGGGTCCCCTCCTCTCCGCGGCGGCCGGCTAGTCAGTCAGTCAGTGGGTCGGCTGTCAGTCAGTCGGCCGGCCTGCGCATGCGCGCGCCGCTCTCT